TGACCATGTCTCACGGCCATACGACACTGCCGGCAGGGCGATAGAATTTAAGAAACGGGTGCGGGACTCTTTTTTAAGTTGTCTATGAGGTCTTATTCGATCGAATGGAATGCGTACCAACCGGTCCGTTTTTTCAGTAAAATTTCTCCAGCTTGATCATGCCAAATGTTGATTTATTGGCCCGGGTAAACGCATGTAGCGTCTTCGATCTCTTCACCGTTTAATTACTTGGGTCTTTGGCAGAGCATCCGATTACAGTATCTTGATCTTTGACCGATTGATTCGCAGTCCGATTTCAGCACTGTTTCTGTCGAGTTCTTGCAACATGTCTTCTACCTAACTGGCGTTTTCCACACACAACACAACGTTGTCAGCGAATCTTACGTGGCTAAGCTGTTCAAGGTTGATATTAATCTCAACCTTCCAGCTTATCCTCTGGAACACCATTTCCAAACAGGCAGTGAAGAGTCTGGTGGAGATGGTGTCCTCTTGATTCTCGTCCTCTTTTGAAACCTGGGGGTGGTGTAAAGTCTGTGAAACAGCCGGAATTTGCTTTCTTGCAGCAGGCTGATGTAACGGGTTTCGATGCGCCGTTCTGCCAATGTAGTTCGTACTGCGTAAGAATTTACAGTCGACGAAGGCGATGCACACAGGCAGCTAGAATTCCATCGGACGCTCGAGGGGTTGACTTAAGGTAAAAATGCTATCCGTTGTGCTGCAGCTCCTTCAAAATCCAGCCTTTTCGCTTAGCTCCAGTTGTTGATCTTAGTAAACCGCTTGTAGACTCGTGAGAGCAGGCCGATTAGGCATTATTTCTCCTGATCTTCCTTTTCGCCCTTCTTGAACAACACGATTGGTTTTTACTCCTTGCAGCTTAATGGTTCCTTTTCTGTTTCCAAGGAGCAACTGAACTTCTTCGCTAGAGCCCTCTGCAGTGTCTCGCCACCTCCTCTGATCATTTCAGTCACCACATCATCTCTATCTTGCTCTGTCCCTTCCTTCATTTGCTGCCAGGCAACCGAACTTCACAAACGAGGATCGGAAGTTCACTTTCTTCTCGCTCTTAGAGTGTTGGTGGCGGGACGCGTGTCTTCACGCAAACAACTTGGTACAGAAAGTTCTTGCAGATTGACGGTATCTTACCTTATTCAGATGTTAATCCTTCATCTCTGTTCTTCAACACAATGATGGACGTCTGATAAACAGTAAACTCCCTCCTGCATTGTCTGAGGCTTCTACGGTCTTTGGCTATTTTCTCAAATATTCGCAACCGGTCGGTCTCATAGTTCTCCTTCAGCTACCGTCTAATCAGCTTGCAGAGAAACGTATACTTTACCATGTCAGTCTCATCTCTCTTCATCCTCTTCCGCTTCTCTAACAAACTAGTTGTCTCTTCTGTAACTTTTCCTTTCGTTCTATTTGATATTACCA